CTGAAGCAGGCTGAGGCTGAGGCTGAGGCTGAGGCTGAGGCTGAGGCTGAGGCAGGCTGAGGCTGATGCTGAGGCAGGCTGAGGCTGAGGCTGAGGCTGAGGCTGCAGGCTGAGGCTGAGGCAGGCTGAGGCAGAGGCGGAGGCTGAAGGCAGACTGAGGCTGAGGCTGAAGCAGGCTGAGGCTGAGGCTGAGGCTGAGGCAGGCTGAGGCTGAGGCTGAGGCTGATGCAGGCTGAGGCTGAGGCAGGCTGAGGCTGAGGCCGAGGCTGAAGGCAGACTGAGGCTGAGGCTGAAGCAGGCTGAGGGCTGAGGCTGAGGCTGAGGCTGAGGCAGGCTGAGGCTGAGGCAGGCTGAGGCTGAGGCTGAGGCTGATGCAGGCTGAGGCTGAGGCAGGCTGAGGCCGAGGCTGAAGGCAGACTGAGGCTGAGGCTGAAGCAGGCTGAGGCTGAGGCTGAGGCTGAGGCTGAGGCTGAGGCTGAGGCAGGCTGAGGCTGAGGCTGAGGCTGAGGCTGATGCAGGCTGAGGCTGAGGCAGGCTGAGGCTGAGGCCGAGGCTGAAGGCAGACTGAGGCTGAGGCTGAAGCAGGCTGAGGCTGAGGCTGAGGCAGGCTGAGGCTGAGGCAGGCTGAGGCTGAGGCTGAGGCAGGCTGAGGCTGAGGCTGTGACTGCGACTGCCGTTGCCACTGCGACTGTCATCGCGAATGCGACTACGACTGCGAGAACAGCAGAATTCTACAACTGGATTCTCATCCGAATCTTAAGGGGAATGCTTCCAGATATGCTCCTACACATCGATGTTAGGTTGCTTTGCCGGGAAATTTTTTAATCAGTTGCGTAGCTTACCCTTGCATATGGATGCTTGGGGTCGAAATGTAGTGAGCTCAACGCAATTGTTAATGCCCGAATTGCATAGAATTGCCGAGTCGTGCCCTCGCAAATAACGTTTCGTTATGCTTCGACATGGAAGGGGGGGGGCGGGATGTGAGGACGCGCCGAGCAGGTTGCTACTATCGAAGACGCCTACGGCGAATCACCGCCGCCCCCTGCCTTATGGAATCGTCCATGTGGCCGAGCGTTGTAGCAGGAGCTCTGCCAAGCTATCGGACCATGTGTCCCCCCAACCGTTGTGGAAACCCTTCGGGGAACACTTGCGGGAGGATGGCAGGGGAGATCAGGAGGAGGAGGAGGAGGAAGAGGAGGAGGAGGAGGAGGAGGAGGGGGCATCTTGAGAGCCTCTGGGGGCACTATTGGGGCCTCCTGAGAGCTCCCTGGAAGCCTCTTGGATGCATCTTGGGGGCCTCTGGAGGCATCTTGGGGGCCTTGGGGGCTTCTGAGGGGCCTCGTTGGCCGTCTTAGGGCATTCCTGGCCCGTCTGATGCCGTCGGAAGCCGTCTTGGGCGCCTCTCTGGGCCGTCTTGGGGTCCCCTTGGGGTGCTCCATGGCCGTCTTTGAGGCCATGCCATCTTGAGCGTCTTGGAGGCCTCTTAGGCAGTCTTTGAACCCTCTTGGGGCCGTCTTGGGGGCCTCTTGCGCCGTTCTGGGGTGGGCGATCTTGTGGCGATCTTCGGAAGCTCTTGGGCCGTCCCGGGCCGCCGGAAGGTCGACAAGAATCAAATGCCAAAAACTTTCGATTACCTTAGCAAAACAACCAACGCTTGACGCACTTTGTCGTTTGTATGAGACAGTCGCAACTTGCGTGTGAAACAACCGCAACTGCTGGTGATATGCAGATGTATATGATGGTTCGAACAATCAGATCTTGCCGCAAGTCCTCCATCTTTTACGTGCATGTGTTGCCACACGGTATCACGCAAAATTCGGCGACAGTGCAAGAATATGGAGGAACACTGTGTTTGGCCTTTTCGGGCCTTCCTGGAGGTCCTCTTGGAGGCCTCTGTGGCCGTTGTGGGGGCCTCTTGAGGGCCTCTTGGGCCGTCTTGGGCCATCTTGGAGCCATCTTGGGCTGTCTTTGTGGGCTCCTGTCTGACGCCGTCGGAAGCCGTCTTGGGGGGCGCCTCTCTGGGCCGACTTGGAGCCCTCTTGGGGTGCTCCAGGGCTGTCTTGGAGGCCTTTTGGGGCCGTCTTGGGGGGGCCTCTTCGGGCCTTCCTGGAGGTCCTCTTGGAGGCCTCTGGGGCCGTCTTGGGGGCCTCTTGAGGACCTCTTGGGCCGTCTTGGGCCATCTTGGAGCCATCCTGGGCCGTCTTGGTGGGCTCCTGGCCCGTCTGACGTCGTCGGAAGCCGTCTCGGGGTCTCTCTGGGCCGTCCTGGGGTCCCCTTGGGCCCTCCTCCTGGGGTCTCTCTGGGCCGTCGTGGGTCTCTCTGGGTCTCTCTGGGCCCTCCTCCTCCTCCTCCTCCTCCTCCCTCCCTCCTCCCTCCTCCTCCTCCTCCTCCCCCTCCTCCTGCTCCAGGGCTGTCTTGGAGACTATCTTGGGCGTCTTGGAGGCCTCTTGGGCCGCCTTGGGGCTCCTTGGGGCCGTCTTGGGGGCCTCTTGGGCCGTTATTGGGCCATCTTGGAGGCCTCTTGGGCGATCTTGTGGCGATCTTCGGGGGGCTCTTGGGCCATTTCGGGCCGTCGGAAGGCCGAAACGAAGCGAATGCCAACATCTTTCAACAACCTAAGGGCCATCAATGATGTTGGCCTCTTCGGGCCTTCCTGGAGACCCTCTTGGAGGCCTCTGGGGCCGTCTTGGGGGCCTCTTGAGGACCTCTTGGGCCGTCTTGGGCCATCTTGAGGGCATATTGTGCCGACTTGGTGGTCTCTTGTGCCGATGCATCTCGGACTCTCTTGGGCCGCCTTGGAGGCCATCTTGGACCATCTGGGGCGAACGTGAAGGCCATCTTGGCCATCTTCTTGGTGACCATTGAGGGCCATCTTGGAGCCATCTGGACCATCCTCACCAGCCCATCCAGAAACGATGCCCATGAGAGTTGACAGGGGGAGAGAGGAAAAGACACGCATAGTCAAACAGCGAGGGAGGCTTGGGAGGCTCCGTGGCCATCTTGAGCCCGCTTCGAGCGGTCTTGAGGCCGCTTGGAGCATCTTGTGAGCCATCTTGAGCCAGCGTTGGCTGTCTGAGCCATCTTGGAAATCATCTTGGGCTCTCTGAGGCCGCTCGGGGGCCTCTTGGGTGCCTCTCGGGTGCCTCTTGGAGCTCTCTTGGGGCCTCTTGGGGCGCTCTTGGAGCCCTCTTGGGGGCCTCTTGGGAGCCCTGAAACGCCTCTTGGGGCCATCTTGGAGGCGGTCGGTCAAAAGAGGGAGGGTACTCGATTTCCCTCCCCCCCTCGGGGGCCACGATCCTCCTGAGGGGTGTCAAGAATTGGCCCTCCCAGGGGCCGAAAAAGGGTCTCTCTCCAAGAAAACCTCGGGGAGGGGAGGGGGGGTGTTCCCCTCCCCGAAGGGAAGAGGGGTTGTGGAAGAGGAAAGAGACCCTCGTTAGACCACCTGTCGCCCAAAGGGCTGGTGGGATTCTGGCAACCAGGTCTTCTGGGTGGCCGGCGGGACGCGCCGAAGCCACAGGGGAGAGTTCTAAAATATTTTTGGCAAAAGAACCAAAACCAAACACCGGGCCCCCCTGTGGGGCTCTAGTGGCCTTCGGCCCATCCCGCTACCGAGCGTGGATTGTGGGTCAGGGTTCTCAGAGATGCTTCTTGGGGTCTCTTCGGAGCGCTCTCGGGGGCCGCTTGGGGGCAGTTTTGGAACTCTTGGGGGCCTCTTGGGGGCCTCTTGTGGGCTTCTTGGGGCCTCTTGAGGGCATCTTGGGGTCCTCTTGGGGCCTCCTGGGGGCCTCTCGGGGCCGAGGGCTCGAACCATCCGTTCGGTTCCCCCATCTGGGCCCCCTCTTGGGGCCGTCAGTTGGGCTTCTTGGATTGTCGTAGGCCGACCTTCGTCTCCTCTAGGGCCGTCTGGGGGCGTCGGGAAGCCGAAAAGGCGAGAACGCCAAAAACCTTCAAACACCGACGGAAAATCATTCATGGGAGGCCTCTTGGGGCGTCTTGAAGGCCTCCTGGGCCGTCTGGGGGCCAGCTTGAGCGTCTTGGAGCGATTGTTCGGCGACTTGGGGCCTCTTGAGGTCTCTTGGGGCCCTCTTGGCCCGTCTTAGGGCCCTCTTGGCTCTGAAAAAGTCAAGCGGCAAGCTGCGCCAAGCCCGCCGAGCCCTTGGAGATTTTTGGCAGTTTGGGTCCTGAGCCCCAAAGATTCCTCAGGAGTGAAGAGTGAGGCTTAGAGGATCAGGGAAAGGACCCGAGGACACGCCCACTCCGTGCCCAGAGGCACGGTGGCGGATTGTCGAGGGTTGTAGCTCCACCTCGTCCTCCCTGGCAGGGTCCATTTGGATCCGATCCATCCTGTTCGATATCCGCCTCGGCCGGCCCGATCCGAGCCGATTTCGATTTCTCGGCGATCCGATGCGGCTCGATGCCTGGCACAGTTGTGCCTCTTCGGTGCGGCCAATCCGATTCGATTCCGTGCCGATGCTTGGAGGCCCAGAGGTTGGCACCAACACCAATATCGGCGGAATACCTCCACCGAAGGAAGATCATCCCTATCTCGTTGATAGTGGTCATATTCTGGCTTTCTAGGTGGCCGAAAGATTACCACCAACACCGAAGTCTAGGATTATCCTCCCCCAGTGGGCGCCCCCCCTGTTTTGGTGTTGGTGCCCATTCCTCATACTCCAAGATGCAGCCCGATCCGACGCACCTCCCGATCCGGTGTGGCTTTCCGATGCGGTGCGGACCGACCCCGCCCCGAGGGGAACGAAGAATCACATCAACTTAAAAACTCTGAGGTCCGCGCGGATTTCTCGGATCGGTGCTGGACCCCTTTCCTGGCGCGCGGAGCGCGCCAGGGGCGGCGCCAGAGGCGCCACCAGAGGGTCCAGCGCGGATCCGGAAAATCCGCGCGGACCTCTGAGTTTGTCTGTTTATGTCATTCTCCGTTCCCCGAGCCCCGGCCCCGCGGCGGGCCCACCTCGCCGGAAGCCGCCGCGGCAGCCAGAGAGCGGCGCGCAGGCGTTCGGGAAGGCCTTTGCCGCGATGGCCGGCGCGGGAGGAGCCACACCAGACGGTGCCCGCCGCGCCTGCCTCCTCCTCCTCCTGCTCCTCCGCCTGCTCCTGCTCCTGTTCATCCTCCTCCTCCTCCTGCTCCTCTGCTCCTCTGCTCCTCCTCCTCTTCCTCCTCCTCCTCATCCTCCTCCTCCTCCTCCCCCTCCTCCTCCCCCGCGCTCGGCCCGCGGCGGACGCCGTTGGGCGCTCTGAAGATCTAGAATGGAGGCCAGTCCACAAGAAACCTTCCACAAGAAACCCAACCCTGAGACCCCAGGACGTCCACTGATTTGTTTTGGTGTGGGAACGGCTTTCCATAGCGAAACTATCGAAACCCAAGAAACCCAGGGCACCCTGGAGGCAAGCAGGGTGTTTCTTGGCATGCATCCCCACTGTAGGCTTAAATCGGGCATGTCCCTCTACAGGGGAAGTATTCAACAACAATGCAACAAATAGTCTGGGGGCGATGTTTTGACTATTGTTGACTGTATTTGAGCTTTTTCAGCATGCTTTAGATTTCTCGTCGAAATCTGCCTGTAGGGGGACATGCCCGACCTAAATCTAGGCCTCCCAGATCTCGGGGGCGGCAAAGAGGGGGTGCTGACCAGGGGGGGTGGATATCATGGCGGGGGCCATGATATCTCCCTAGATCTCATGGCGACTCTTCTGATTTCATTGCGTCCCGGGCCCCCCCCCCTGGGCCGCGCACATGCCGCCAGCCATGATTTGCGCTCCCCCCTCTTGGACTCTGTCCTCTTGGACTTCCCGCTATACGGGGTCGGAGGATCGCGCCGCATCGCCGATGCATCGATGATGCGGCTCGATGCGGAGACATATCTTCTCCACGCCGACGTCGCCGATGCGTTGGCGCAGCAGCGCAATCCTCCGACCCCATGCATTCCGATCCCATCTAGGAGGCCTCTAGAAGAAGAGTCACGGCGGGCGGTATTCTTGCAGCGTCGGCATTTGCAGGGGGGGAGAGCTCGCCGAGCGCGTTTTACTACTCGCAGAGTGCTGAATTATTCGCAAACGTTAGAAACATCTACTGTGATTGATTTTCTTTAACAGATCGTAAATCCCCGGCGGCGGATCCAAGCGGTTCGCGAGTATTTAATCGCGAGTAGTGGAACGCGCTTGTCTAACAGCGGCATGGTGCCTGAGCCTGCCTGAGGCGTGGTTTCCGCCGCCCCCTTCTGGTTGCAGCACCCTCCGCTGGGGCGCTGGCCCTGGCAAGGCCTTCGTGGCCAGCCCACCTCGAAACCACTCTGACACTACACTGCCGAGGAGGAGGAGGAGGAGGCGGAGGCGGAGGCCGAGGCGGAGGCGGAGGAGGCGGACGAGGCGGACGAGGCGGCGGCGCCGCCGCTGCGAGGCGGGCAGGAGGTGGTTTAGTGGTCTGGCGATCGCGAGCGTGGCACGGGCCGCCCATCGGGACCACACCGCCACTACGGCTGCTGTCTCTTGTCGTGATCCGCGAAGCCGTTGGTTTGCCATCCACAGGCCCCTCTCCAAGTCCTGGCGCCATGAGAAAGCAGCCCGGGACGATGAGCCAGTCTTGGAGAGCAGGGATCGAGAGGTCTTTGGGCTCAATGTCGTGTACACAGAGAATGGTAACAGCAACACCAAAGTGATAACGAGGTTGCAGGTCAGGGACGGCTGGCGAGACCGCCAGAGAGGCCCAGAAACAGCCAAACAGCCCGCCGCGGACAGAAGAAGTGATCGTTTTCACATTCATTGCTTTGCCGATCGGCGCGGGCCCTCGCCCCCCCCCTCTCCCCCCATGGAGTAGCTCTTGGCTTCTTTGCGCGCCTGATTCAAGCAGGTGGAGTAAGCACGGGGGCGCCGCCTCCCCCTGGGATTCCCCGTGGGAGCATTGTTCCAAACAATCGCGCTAAGCAGAGGTCCGGGGCCAGAGCCCCCCCCCCTCCCCCCCTCGTTTCGTTCAATGTCGAAACGCCGAGTAAGATAACGCCCGCGAGAAATACAGCCCAAACGGGGTGGCATTGGGCAGCTCGTGTTGTTCTTTGGGCGGGGGAGGCTCTGCCTGGTTCTCCCCCTGGCTCATCGGCGAGGGCGGGGAAGAGGTGAAGGTCGAGATCGAGGAGGTGGAGGAGGAGGAGGCAGAGGCGGAGGAGCAGGAGGAGGAAGAGGTTGAGGAGGTGGAGGAGGAGAAGGTGGAGGAGGAGGACCAGTGTAAACCCAAGAGTCATCAACGATGTTGGAGCAAAACCTCCCTCCAAGCTAGGCCCCTTCAACGGGTCATTTCCATTGAGGGAACTGCCTTGTCGGAAGACAACTGTTTGAAGACCCCGAACATGCCAAAACATCGTTCTCGTGATTCCAACGCCACGGATCATTTTGACTTTTGCGTCTTGGCGATCCCGAATCGTGCCAGAACGCCATTCCTGGGACTTCAACACCGCGAACCAACGTATTTAACAATTGTTGCGCCCGCGTAATCCTGACTCCTTCCCAAACAAACGGATTTCTGGTACGCTGATCATGGGAACCCGTGAAACTCTGGCAAATGGTGCAAACGAATGTGCGCGGCGCTAAAGTGAGAGCCACATTTTGAAAAGGAACAGCCCTCGATCCGTGAAACTCTTGCAAATGTTATATAGGAATGTGCGCGGCGCTAAGGCGAGAGCCACATTTTGAAAACCACCCGCCCTCAATCCGTGAAGCTTTTTTTGTTGCAATTTTTATATACGAATGTTCGCGGAAGTTAAGCGAGAGCCGCATTTTGAAAACGACCCGCCTTCCATCTGTGAAATTGTTGCCACTTTTGTGCGTCAGAGTCATAAATGGTGAGGAAGTCTCGGGCGAACCGCCCAGCCCGCCCTAAACATTGGCATCGGGCTGCGACAAGGATAATATACTTATAAGGAAAATCATCGAGGAGGAAGAGGAAGAGGAGGAGGAGGAGGAGGAGGAGGAGGAGGAAGAGGTTGAGGAGGAAGAGGAGGAAGAGGAGGGGGGAGGCTCTGCCTGGTTCTCCCCCTTGAAACCAGACGGCTTCGTGTAAGGAGCAGCCGCGGCCCCCGAGCCGTCGGGCAAGTGTTCGATCCGTGAGGGCCCCGGACCCCGAGGCGGGGCGAGAAGGCCCGCTGGCTCTTGTGGCGCTCGGACGTCAGTGAATTTCCCTCCCTCCCTCCCCACCCCCATCCCTCCCTCCCCGTACACTGCATCGTCGGGGGACCTCGCCCGTCCCCCAAAGTGGTGTCTTCTCTCGTGCCCGCCGCGGGCTCGGTGCGGACTCGGCGCGGATTCGGCGTGGGCTCGACGAGGATTCGACGCGGATTCGGCACGGACCCGACGAGTCCGACGTGGATTCGGCACGGATTCGACGCGGATAGGGCCGCGACGGGACAGACAAGGTCCCCCGAGGATGGAACATAATGTTCAACCTTCCCCTCTCCTTTTCTTCTTTCCTGCTTCATCCCTCCCCTTTCTCATTGCCTCCCCTCTTGGGCTCTCTCATTCCCGGTCCTTGTCTCGCTCACCCGCTTTCTCCCCCTCCTTCCCCTTCGACCCCCCGCGATCCCTCTGGTGACGGAGGCAACGAGCAGCTGAGCGAGGACGACGATGCCGCCGTCGAGAGGCTCCGGCTTTGTGACCTGAGCAGGCCGAAGGAGATCATCGCCCAGGCCGCACGGGCGCAGCGGAGAAGGGCGGCTCGGGCTCGATGCAGGGACGGAGCAGCATTGACGGCCGCGATGCCATGGCATGGTGTCCGAGCACGGCCGCGGGGCGCCCGTTCTGTCTGCTGGAGCGCGCGTGCGCAGGCCGAATGCCGGCCGCAAAAATCCCCTCGAACCAAACAGAGCTCGAGGAAGACAAAACGCCATAAACATATTTTTTTGACGCTCCGCGCAGATTTCTTGGATCCGTGCTGGGCTCCCTGTGTCAGGATTGGGCAATTTGCGCGAATGTTATCGCACGAGAGCGTATGGATCATAGGGGGTCGTCGGGGGATCGCTCCTCCTCTGGGAGGACTGGGGAGGAACAGGAGTGAGAGGAGGAGTAGGGGGGAAGCGTCGCACTAGGCCAAATGCTATCGCATGCGAGATTGGGCATCGATGGAGTAGGCTGCATCGCTCAATTCTTCGGGGATGTAGAACGCAGCCTGGGGGCGCAGATAAGTCGGGTAAGAATAATGATAAGGAAGGTAAAGAGAAGCATATTGGACAGCAGCAGCATTTAAGGGAGCGTCATGCCTCCCCCTCATTCCTCGCCAACCTTCCTCCCTCCTTTGTCATCATCCTCGTCCTCCTCCTCCTCCTCCTCCTCCTCCTCCTCCTCCTCCTCCTCCCTCCTCCCTCCTCCCTCCTCCTCCTCCTCCTCCTCCTCCTCTTCCTCCTCCTCCTCCTTCTCCTCTTCCGCCCCCTCCTCTCCCTCCTCCCCCTCCTCCCTCCTCCTCCTCCTCCTCCTCCTCCTCCTCGTCCTCCTCCTCCTCGTCGTCGTCGTCCTCCTCCTCCTCCTCAGCCCCCCCCTCTCAGGAGTTTGCAGCTCCAGGGGCTGGCGGGCATCGAGATCGCAGCAGGCACTTTTCGCTGCGGTGCCCCCTCCAGGCCGTTGCCCCCCGCGCGCGCACTCACATCCGTCATGCCATGATGTGGTTGTTTTTCTTTCTTGTGCGTGCGGCGGCGGGCATGTTCACTTCTGTCCACTGGAACTGTCAAAGTGCGGATCTGGAGCGATTGGGTGACATCCCGGACGAATTCAAATGGACGGATATCATAGCTGTCACCATTACGGGAGAACGGGCGCAGGGCCGCGATGCACGGTATGCAGATCTGAGATATCACTTCGTGCTGCGGCATGGGTTCCAGGTGGGCAAGCATGTGAATAAGTCCTGCGGGATAGCGCTGCTGTTGAGGAAGCGTGTCTTCAAGAGAAGAGATGTGGTGGATGCTCCCGCGGTGCCCGTCGCGCTGCAGGGTCGAGTGGCTGCGTTTCGGTTGCGATCGGCAAGGTTCGACGTGCTGCTGCCAGTATTGTACTTCCCTCCTCGCCCCAGTGCCAGACGGGAGGGTCGTGAGTCTATGGTGCAGAAGGGCACAGCTCAGGCGCACTACCAGGAGACGGTGGACCTGATGATACAGTGGCTGGAGAAAGTGCTGACGTGGTCCAGACGACGGTCCTCGCTCATGATGGGGTTCGACCTAAACGATTCGTTTGGGTGGAGGCCTCGTCGGCACGGCGTCGTGGACTGGGCGCGGTCTCCCCCCCTGGGCCCGCATGCGCGCAGCGAGCAGCATTACGCGGCGAACAGGATGCTGGAGCTGCTCGAGCGCCACGGGGTGGTAGTGGCCACGTCCTTCCACCCAGTCGGCGAAACCTTCTTCGGCCCGCGCGCGCCCAGCAGCATCGGTCATATTGCAGTGTTATCGTGGCAGCTGGAGACGATCAGGCAGTGCGTATCGGTGAGACGATCGAACCTTCGGTTGAAGCTGGGATACCGCGAGGGGCTGCAGGATCACATCCCGCTGACGCTGAAGGTAGACTACAGTTTCGACACGAGCACCTCAGTCCCTCCTCTGACGTGCTGGGACTTGGATCGCCCGGCGAGTGCGCTACGGAAGGTAGCGGGGGTGCCCGAGTTCATGGCCGACTTAGACGGGCAGTTTGCAATGGCGCCCGATGTTCACGACTTCTTTCTCCATGAGTTTGCCCCCGATGAGGCGTGGACTCGTTGGGTCACCGCGGTCTACGCGACGGCGGAGCGGCACTTCGAGCGACGTGTCACCAAGGACCTGGAGGTGCTCGCGTGCCCGAGAGCCCGCTCACAGCTGCTCCGAGAGAGAGACGGCAGGCGCGCATGGATGGCAAGGGGGACATGACGTCGAGCATGTTGCTCAGTCGGTGCAGTCGACGGCTTCGTCAACTTCGTCGTGCTCATTCCGGTGCTGCGACGGAGCAGCTCATTTCTGAACTGGATGCAGCCTGGAAGGGTCGGAGACATGCCGAGGTCTGGCACCTTGCCCACGTCTTGGCAGGGAAGTGCAGTGGACCCCGCAAGAGGCAGTTCGACGCGGCGCAGGCGTACGCACCGAGGGTAGAGGAGATTCAGGAGCACTTCAAGCGCCCTGGGCACGAGGGGGGCTTCGCTGCGGTGCCCGACGTCTTCAGCCAGTACCAAATGCAGGCGACAGAGGACCTCCCGAGGCCTCCACCCTTCGGGGTGGACCATTTTCTTCGCGTGGAGCAGGGGCTGGGTGGTCTCGCGGCGGTTCAGGCTTTAGCAGAGAAGGCTCCTCGGCGCAAGGCTGCGCCGTTGCACTCGATCCCGTCCGAGCTGATCACGATCGTTCTTGATCCGACTCGTCGATAGGATGGGTCTCGCCGACGGCGACGGAGGCGTGAGAATGATGAGGGGGATGATGGCGCCGACACTGCCCCGCGGCCACAGTTCGCTCCACGGCGCCGCCCTGCGGGGGATCGTCGAGGGCTGGGAGTCCAGACCGTCGGGGAGATCCCGAATATGGCCAGCATGTCGGCGTTGCAGAAGATGTTCCATTGTATTCGGAGGGTGGGGCGGGCGCCAGTTGCATGGCATCATTCGCAGGCGACAGGTTTGGATAAGCGTAACGGGAAGGATGGCTTCTCAGCGCGTCGCTATATTCATGGCTTGCGTCGAATGGGGGTGCTGTGGTACAAAGCTCAGCTTCTGCGAGGCCATGCAGACGCTGCTCCCGATCGTGAGCATGGGTATCACCCAGATCGGGATCGAGAAGGAGCGCTCACTTGTCAGGAAGCATTGTTGTGGTGCTTGCGGAAGCTGGGCATCTCGTCGGTCACATCAAAGGAGGATATGGCCAATGCATTCGGCTGCGCGACCTTCTCGGCGCTGCGGCGCGCGGTGGGGGCCTCGATTCGAGACGACTCGCAGGTGTACTTCCTCCAGCGGCATGAGGCGAGCACGTTCACCATCAATGGCTCGGACGGGGAGGCAACGCTGCACAATCTGTGCGGCGCGGTCATGGGGGGCACTCCCGCGGCTGTGTTCTTCGCGAGGACCTTCAGGCAGCCCGTGCAACAATGGCTGGATCAGCTGTGGTCTCAGGCTCGGCATGGGCAGGCTCCTGCCCGCCCACAGACATGCGAGGAGTGGGTGGGCCAGGCGCTCGTCCCCGCAGTGCCGCCAGCCAATCCTGATATGATATTGTGGCCGACTGAAGCGATGTGCACGGCGTAGACACCGATCCTCCAGCGGCCCGTCGACCTGTCGCGCAGAGTCTACGCCGGCGACGCGAACAAGACGCACATCGTCAGCTCGGCCAAAAATGCCAAGTACACGCTGGAGCAGGCACATGTGCACCTTCGGGATACGCTGTCGCAGGACGGCTACGCTCATAATTCAGGAAAAAGCACCGTCTTTCCATCATTCGTCGGGCCAGGATCGAAGGCTGAAAATGCTGCTGTGTTCGGAGGTGCCGTCTCCCTCCCTGGCCAGGTGCAGTTTGAGAATATTGCGTTGGGTATTCAGACGGCCGTGAATGGGGGAGTCCAGGGAGAGCTCGAGAGGCGTATACTGGCATGTCGGCGGGGCTACTACTCCATGGGCAGGTTCTGGGCCAAGAACAGAGTCTGGCGCTTCGCGCGCGCGGTATTTGGGGCCGTCGTCCAGGGTGCTCTTCTCTCGGGTCTAACGACTTTGGTGCTCGCGGCACCGCGAGAACTTCGACTCGATCGGGTGCTCGTCGGTTTCGCCAGAAAGCTCTTGAGAGGGGGGGCGTGTCAGAAGGTGGAGGAGCAGGACGAAGGAGGACGGCCTGTTCTGGACGTATGGGACAAACCCGTTCTTCGTTATCGTGCTCTCACCGATGCTGCTGTCTTTCGTCGCGTTGGCGTCGCCCCGTCTGGGGTGGAGCTGAGAGTCAGGCGCCTGAGACAATGCCAGAGATGTGTTCGCCGTCCTGGCTCTCGCCCGCAGGCGCTAGGTGCTATCTTCGGCCAGCTGCCAGTGGAAAACTGCCCCACGTTGCGCGAGCAGGGCTGGCTTCATCCGCAGGCCAATCCTTTCGCGAAGCGGTTCGCAGCAGACATCCTGGAGCTTGCGCGGAGGTCCGAGGCGGAGCTCCGCGAGTCGTCGTTGCAGAACCCCCCGGGCGTTTGCGTGGGCGGCCCCCCCTTCCTGGACGAGGATCTTCGGGGGCAGTTCCTGGCGCTCGACCCTGGGATTCTACGGGCAGCGGCCAAGACGGTCGCAATGCCTCCTCCTATTGGGCTGTACGGATCAACCGTGGACCTCGAGGCTCATGACGGTGCTCAAGAGGATCCCCCACCACCGACGGCGTGCTGGACCTGCGAGCTGGAGGGCGCTGAGGGCAAGAAGTGTGGGAGGGTCTTTCGGACCCGCAGGGCCCTAGTGGCCCATCGAAGGTTCTCGAAGGACGGGTGACATTCCTGTGTGTCAGTGATCCACGCCATCACGATCACGAACGAATGTATCTTCTGCCACCAGAAGTTCCGCACCAGGAGGATTGCTCAGGAGCACGCGGTTCAGGCCGCATTAAAAAAATCGGTGCCCCCCCGAACGTCGCGCCCTCTTTCCGCCCCGCCCTGGAGCCCCAGAGCCTGTGCTGCCCCATGTCTGGGCTGACGGTGGCCTCGGTGTTCGGGGCCAAGTCTAAGGCCATGCTGA